CATTTTCTATTTTTAACTGTTTTAAATTCATTTTAAATAAAAAATTGTATCATTTTAAATTCCTTGTTTTATTGTTTTGATTATTTTTATTAATATTTTACTTCCTTTAATGTAAAGCACTTTGAATTACCATTGTGCATGAAATGTGCTATATAAATAAACTTGCCTTGTTCAGGGTTTGATGGGAAACTCCTGGATCTCGCATCAGTCCCGCAGTGGGAATATCTCAGCGTAATGGTGCGTGAGAACAGCTCCTGTGCTTTTATGAAAAATCATAAATACTTTCTAGAGGTTTCTGCTGTTTGATGGCTGGAGCAGCTCAGGAAGCTCAAGATCACAAACACAGAGGCTTCTGGGTGATGTACTTGTTCTGAAATTTATTATTTTGGCTTGACAGCGACGTTCTGTTATTGTACGAACGAGGGTTTGGTGTTGTCAGGACTCGACCAGCAAACGCAGCACAGTCTGATCTGATTTACAGCGTCTGCTCGGATCCAACACGTTCCCCTAACATTAGAATACGGTTCCTGTTTGGTTAGATTTTGGGAACTAAATAATAAGTTTGTTTTAGGTTTTATTTTTTACAACCATAAAATAAGGTTCCCAGATTGTTCCGGGAAGCAGAATTGTTGGGAATAATCCTGTATTGATGGATTTCCAGTGAATATTTCGGACAGTTTCCAAGGCCTCAGAGAGTCTGGTGTTGTTCTGTTGTCATGGAAACAGACACTCAGGGGCCAGCATTAAAAACTAGTCTGACCAACCAAAGGATAATCAGTCTTTTCCTTCTCAGATTACGCCAGATTGAGTTTTTATACATCTGACCAGTCTTAAAGAAACATATCGGAGGACTAACGTACAGTAAACTAGTCTAGTCAGTGTGTGCGGCTGGTTCAGTGTCAGGAGTCGCTCTGTGTTTTCAGACACTGCTGAGATCAGCTTCTCCATTTCATGAAGTCACCCGTTCTGGAGCTTCTGAGAGGATCTTCAGGCTCTGTGAAGCGTGTCCTGCTGGAGTCTGATCCAGCGGTGGAGCTGATGGAGATCCGGCTGTCTAAAATCTGCATGTGCTGGATCCTGGCAGATGTTCAGCTGGAGGACACAGATTGATCATCTGGTTTGTGTTATTCTGAATCACCAGGCCAGAACTGAGACGCTCTCCAGATCTACAACTCACATCTAACAATGTTCTTGCCATGTCTGTCTGCAGAAAATCATGATTCAGTGTTTTGAATGACTGACAGACACGTCATGCTGAGGATGTTCAGTGAAGTCACTGGCTTATGGAGAAGTTTAACTACATTTAACTATTTTAAGTCTGTTTTTCTTAGTTCCAGTGTGTTTTTGCAGGTGGGAGTATCTGATGTGAGTTTGCAGAAGAGCATCTCTGGAGGAAGAAGGCCAGCACGTGTCTCCTGATCTGATGATGATTCAGCAAAGCTATTATAGATGATCTGCTTGTGAATCTGTCAAATCTTCTTCTGACCCTCCAGATCTTCTGACTCACATGAAACGCATCTGATCTGACGGATCCTGCAGGGAATCGGTGTTGATCTTGGCCGCTCGTCAGAATCTCTGGAGATGAAATATTGAACAACTGATTAAAAGTCTAATATGATTAGTTTGCACAGACAGATGTTTTCCCCGAGGCGTTCTCAAGCGTTCCTCTGGGTTCCTGCAGCTTCAGGGTTTGGTTTGAGGAATGTGTGATGGATTTCAGGAAGTGCTGCTGGTATCTGAGGTTCATCTGATCGATCCAGTGAAAACACGGCTTTCATTTGCACAAACACTGAGGCCAGTCGATCTCTGAAATCAAGATCTGCAGCCTCAAGAGCCACGGAGTGATTTCTCTGAAGATTCTCAATCGGTGCGCTGCTTTATTTATGACTTTAATATCAGTTGAGTGAGTTTGGGTTTGTTATGGTGAGTTTTGTGCCAGTGTGAGGAACTGAAGCTCATAATGAGACGTCTGAACGCATCAGCATCACTGCGGCTCACAGCAGACGCTCATTACACTCGCTCTCTTTACTGAAATCCTCGGAGAATCTGAGACGACTGAAACGGCTTCATTACTAAACTGGATTTTACTGTAAAGTTGCTTTGTTATTAGTACAATGAAATTGCTCAAAAACATGGTATTACTATAGTATCCTCTCTAGGAAGCGGTGGTATTACAGTGGTATTTTATAGATGTAAAACTGAGAAGATTAATGCCAAATGCATAAATGATCAGTACAGCTGAAATTTTATAATTTAGTCATTATAAAAGAATGTGAGTGTGTATGTGTGTATGTATGTGTGTGTGTGAGTGTGTGTGTATGTGAGTGTGTGTGTGTGTGTGTGTGTGTGTGTGTGTGTGTGTGTGTGTGTGTGTGTGTGTGTGTAAATGATCAGTAGATCAGTACATTTATAATTTAGTCATTATAAAAGAATGTGAGTGTGTGCGTGTGTATGTGTGTATGTATGTGTGTGTGTGTGTGAGTGTGTGTGTGTGTATGTGAGTGTGTGTGTGTGTGTGTGTGAGTGAGTGTGTGTGTATGAGTGAGAGTGTGTGTGTGTGTGTGTGAGTGTGTGTGTGTGTATGTGAGTGTGTGTGTGTGTGTGTGTGAGTGAGTGTGTGTGTATGAGTGAGAGTGTGTGTGTGTGTGTGTGAGTGTGTGTGTGTGTATGTGAGTGTGTGTGTGTGTGTGTGTGAGTGAGTGTGTGTGTATGAGTGAGAGTGTGTGTGTGTGTGTGTGAGTGTGTGTGTGTGTGAGTGTGTGTGTGTGTGTGTGTGTGTGTGTGTGAGAGAGAGAGAGAGTGTGTGTGTGTGTATGTGTGAGTGTGTGTGTATGTGAGTGTGAGTGAGAGTGAGTGCGTGTGTGAGTGAGAGAGTGAGTGTGTGTGTATGAGTGAGAGTGTGTGTGTTAGAGAGAGTGTAGAAACGCTGCAATGCTTTGGCAATACAAATGTAAAAAATATTTGTTATGCCAATAAAGCACCTAAAACTAAAACCGAAAACTGAGTGTGTGTGAGTGTGTCAGAGCTCATCAAGAGTTACTGCAGATGCTAAACACACACACACTCATGCTTGGAGCGTCGCTAATGTGCTAATCACATCCAGGCCCGGGCAGGATTGAGTATAACCAGAGGCGGACAGTAACTAACTACATTTACTTGAGTATTGTACTTAAGTACATGTTTTGAGTATCTGTACTTTACTTGAGTATAATATTTTCTGGGAACTTATGACTTTAACTTCACTTCATTTGAAAGACAAATATTGCACTTTTCACTCCACTACATTTATATCAAGGTACTCAAGTAGAAAGTCGTTACTCTGCAGCAGCTTTGAAAGTCAGTGGGTGATTTTTTTTCTTCTCTAAAATGTGACTTTCTTTTTTTTCAGACAGTTTATCAGTAATCACTCTTGGGGCTACATGAAGAGATTTCCAGCATTTTTTGAACACTGACCAGTTGCAAATGTGATTTATTTACAACAATTCATTAAGAAGTTAATATTGTGGTATATATTAGACACAATATTGTCTGATTTTGCTAAATTGTGTAGGTGAAAATATTACCTATAAAGCCACAGAAGAACTGTTGTGCGTCTCCTAATAAAACACAATAGTGTTGGACTGAAGCAGCACTGCAGACCG